GAAAATTGGGGGCCCTGGAGTGAAAAGAAGAGATGAAAGAAAAGGGGGAAAAAAAATCCGTTTAGCAGCCTTGTTCTGTTTGATCTCACAGACAGCAGGCAATAATGGAAGAATGCTGGAGCTGAGGATGGAAGGTGGTTGGATTCCAAGTGTCGGTCTCCTCCCTGAGCTATGTCTGCTGTTTGGACTTGCAGACTTCAAACATGACTGGGGGATTCCTGAAAGACAAAAGAATTCAGGGCCGAGGCTTGGATCTCAGTCAAAAATAACTAATGTCTTCATCTGAGGCAGGCAAAGGCGGCAGCCCAAGGCCAATTTGCTGGTTTCTTGGAAGATTGGAGCTACAGGTGCTGAGAGGGTCAGCCCAGGTTTGCTTTGGAGAAAGAAGGAGCCATGGAGGATGTGGACCTGGCTGAGGGAGATGAGAGGCCAAATGGAAGAGGTTCTAATAAAAAAGCCACCCCTCTTTACCCTCCTTTTGGGTGCTGTGTTTGCTTTGAGCCATAATTACAGCCCTTAATGTTGCTGCCTGACTTCTTATTAGCTTAAGGTATCCACAAACAAACTGCTCAGCTCCCTTCACCCCTCTTCTTCCCTCTCCTGGCAATTCCTTCTGACTTTTCAATGGTAACCCCATGTTTTAGCTCCCAGATTCAAAACATCAGATCTCCCTCTCTTGGAGGGTGCTTTGGAGGATAGCACCCCTAATGCTCTTCCCTCTTCCCCCCTGTTATCCCACTGGGCTGTAATTAGAGCATTATCTAATTTTCTCCCAGGAGGCCAGAGCTTGGCTCTTATCTAGCCCTTTGTAGACTCAGCACCTTGGCCAGGGGCTGGCAAATAATAAACACTCACACCATGGTAGCTGAATGGCACTGTTGAGCTGCTGCCAACTTAATCCTCCTAAAATGCCGCTCTAGTTACAAGCCGTCATGCCTCTCCATCACCCGCTGGGCAAGGCTCAGCCTCCTCAGAATGGCACTCAAGGACTTTTCCACATGGTCCGCCTCACCTGCCTTGCCATCCTTACTTTATGCTCAGCCACTTAGTGGTCTTTGCATAGTTTACAGCTGTCCTACCTCTGAACCTTTGTCACCATGGTTCCCTCCATGCAGAAGCCCCTTCCATATTCTATCCCAAAGCCATCTCATTTTCAAGGCTCATCTCCACTGTATGCCTCTGCCCCTCTGAATGAGCTCAATCCCTTAGAATTTGGACCTCTCTTCCACAGTGCTATAGCTTGAATATTCAATGTCCCCAAAAGCCCATGTGTTAAAGGCTGGGCCCCTAGCTTTGAGCTATTGGGAGGTGATGGGAACTTTAACAGGTGGGGACTACTGAGAGGTCTTTAGGTTATTGGGGGGTGGAAACTTGAAGGGGATTATGGGACCCCTATCTCTTCCTGGACTTCCTTTTGCTATTCTACCATGAGGTAAGCAGTTTTGGTCCACTGCTCACTCGTGCAGTGACAAGTGCTGCCTTGTCACAGGCCCAATCAATCATGGGCTGAAACCTCCAAAACTGCCAGCCAAACTAAACCTTTTCTATTTATAAATTGATTACCTGAGGTATTTCATTATAGTGACGGAAAGCTGACTAACATATCCAGGCCCTTATCCTGTTCTGCATTGCCTTAGAATGTCTTGTTGGGAACTTCAAATAGGGCATAGGGTTAGGAATACAGCTCAGTGTCTGCCTAGCATGAGCAAGGCCCTGGGTTTGATCCCCAGTACAGCAAACAAAACAAAACAAGAGGGTGTGGAGTGTTGACAAAATGCAGAGCGAATCAGCCTCATTTGCTGTGCCCTTCATTAGACCCCAAGCATTCTCCCAGGGCGGGTCCATGTGCAGCATGCCGAAGGCATCTATGAGTGCCTGGCCATGACAGCTAATGAATGTAAATGTGTGCTAGCCCTTAGGCTGTCTTAGGTTGGAGTGGGACAAAAGCTTTCAGGTGGATCCCATACTACACTGTCTGCTGAGGAGCAGATTGTCCTAGCTACAGATTCCCTTGGGGCCAATGGGCCTAGTGGGTTGGCTGGTGAGGCTGAGGCAACACTGGGGACATAAGGTGGAATGGTGGCCTCAGGTTCATAGAAGTTGTTGAATGTCCCAACTCATCCTAATAGTCTCCAAATCCAGATGGCCATCCTTCTTCCAGAAGGGATTGAGGGGAAAGTGGTCTTGTAGAGGGAGGACTCTGGAGAGCCCAGGATTCTTTCCCAAAAGGCTTCTAGAAACACTGTCAGCCAAGATGGGCACTGGTTCCTAGGGGCAGAAGGTACTGGGACTTAAATTCAGGGACTTCACCTTGAGCCACTCCACCAGCCCTATTTTTGTGAAGGGATTTTTTGAGATAGGGTCTCAAGGAACTATTTTCCCGGGCTGGCTTCGAACCATGATCCTCCTGATCTCTGCCTCCTGAGTGGCTAGGATCACAGATGTGAGCCACTGGTGCCCGGCTTCAGATCTCTCCTTTTGTTCTAACTGCTGCTGCCCTCATTACCTCTTCTTTGGATGACACCCCTCCTGTCCCTATGCTCAGGACAGACTCCTGTCTAGCCTCTGAACTGGAGTTAGAGGGATCTTTTATTTATTATTATTAGTATTAATTATTATCATTATTATTTGGTGGGACTGAGATTTGAACTCAGGGCTTCATACTTGGAAAGCAGGTGCTCTACTGCTTGAGCCACACCTCCAGTCCATTTTGGTCTGGTTATTTTGGAAATGGAGTCTTAAGAACTATTTGCCAGGTCTGCCTTTGAACCTGGACATTGTAGATCTCAGCCTCCTAAGTAGCTAGTGTGAGCCACCAGAATCCCAGCACTTATTTTTGTGTTTTGAGATGGGGTCTTGCTATGTTGGCCCCAGTTCCTGGGTTGAAGCAATCCTCCCGCCTCACCCCTTGGACTAGTTGGTACTACCAGCACGTGCCACTGCACCCCAGCTAGGTGGGATCATTTAAAATGTGACTTTCCTGGTCAGGGTCCTTCAATGGCTCCCCCATTGCCCAAATCCAAACTCTTTTCTCAGGAAACTCACACTACTGCCCCCTGCAGCTAGACTCTTTCCATTGGGAGTCTTGCTCTAATTTCCACCCAAGCCAAATTGCTTATTGTTCCCCTCCCATATCACACTGCTTTACCACCCAGCCTTTGCCCATGCTGGTCCCTCTGCCTGGAATGCCTCTTCATCTTCCCACATTGCCTAATTCTGGGTCACATCCTTTGGGAAGACCTGGATTTACTCCTTTTGGCTTCTATACTTCCCTGGAATCCAGAACTTATCCCTATGCTTAACATGACTCTCTCTCAATTTATGGAGGGCAGGGTCTGGATCTTATCCATCTCTGTATTCTCAAAGGTCTATCAATGATACTTAATAGCTCAATAAATATTAGGGATTTAACTGAGCCTGCTATGGTCCCGCCCATCTGAGGTGATGACACAGTTGGATTGATAAGAACTGTCCCTGGAGAAGAGACAGAATCCAAGGAGAATCTGAGATCAGAACCAGCTGGGCTGCTCAGGATCTCAGAAAAGAATAGCCAGCTCCTCTGTGTGCCCTTCTTCCAGTTCTCCTAGAATCAGGCTTCTGAGGCCATCTCTCCAGAACCAAAGATCTGAGCATAACTTGAACCCATGCAAGTCATGCAAATGACAGCAGAGGGTGGGAGAAGTAGTGATACTGGCCTTAGGGTCCCCAGCAGTCACTTATCCTTCTAGATTTCCTTCCACAAAGAAGTCAGGCTCTGTTCTGTCCTCCCGAAGGCTGTTTTCAAAAATCACACCCCATGCAGACAGTTTTATTTACAAGGAAATCTTGGCAGGATCTTGTCTTGTTAGTAGAGTAGAGATGGGGGAGGGTGGTGAGAAACAAAAATAGTTGAAATGATCACACTTTCTGAAACGGAGATAAAAATTGGTGTCTGTAGCAAAGTCACCTAATTAGAATAGAGCTAATTTCCTTCTGTATTTAGGGGGAGCAGTCACTGCTGGATGAAGATGGTTACAGGTTGGATCCCAGGGCTGCTGTTCTGTGGTTATGTGTTTGCCTTGCAAAGCCGAGAGCATTAATTGCAACTCACCAACAGAAAGAGGCTCAATTTCTGACAGGAAGCTGAGAGGGGTAAATGGTGGGAAGAGGTGGAAGGGCACAGCTTTGGTGCTGGGTGGGGGACTGACTGGAAGATTTAGCCAGGAGTGAGTCCCTGAGCCTCCGGTGGAGAGCTGGGCACCAGTCCCAGGGGGCCACTGGTGACACGTTACAGGTAGATCCTTTGCTTAGAGGAGACAGTATTTCCTGGGGTCTTTTCCTTAAAAGATCCCTGTTTTCCTAACTTCATTCCTTTTTAGTTTCTTCATCCTCCTCTTCCAGGAGAGGCACTTTCCTGGGCTCACTCACTGTGGTCAAATGAAGCCTGGGCAGAGTCTCAACAACTCTGGGTGCAGGGAGGACAAGGTTTAGGGTTTGGGGTTCCGTACTCTCCTATCTGACTTCTCCCATCCCGAGGCTTCCCTGGACCTTCCAATAATCTGAGTCCACAGTGAATAGAGGCATAAGGGTCGGTGGTTGTGGGGGATGCAGTCCTCACAACGTCCCGCCCCAATTCACTCCTAATTAACCCTGCGGTTGCTAACTTCACAAAAACGTCGCCTCTGCCTCCGACGTATAATCTGCTGCCTCCAAGTGACCGTTAAACCACCCGGTGAGGGAGACTCGGAGCCCAGGACCCCGAGTGGAGGCTGCTGGTAATGGGGAGGAGGACAGCGTGGTCCCCATCTATGCCCTGGGCAGTGCAGCCACTTCCCCGCCAGCTCCGCCGCAGCCCTCCCTCCCTCCCGGGGTGGCGCAGCTCCGACCGACTGGGCCCGGGCGGCGGCGTCCGGGTGGGGTGGGGGCGGGGGCCGCGGCCCCGTGAGCAGCCCCGCCCCCGCCCGCGCCGCCCCCGAGGAGTCCGCTGGGAGGTGGAGACTCCAGCGCAGAGCGGGGGCCGCGCGGAGCAGGAAGGGGGTGCTGGGAGCAGCCGGGCCGGGCCGGGCCGGCCCAAGGGCGCCTTCGCCTGGGAGCTGGGCGCGGGGCCGCGGCGGAGGCGGAGGCCAGCGGGCTGGCGAGCGCAGAGAAGTTTGGCGGCCCAGGGCCCGGCGTCCCGCGGTGGCAGAGGCCGGGGCCATGGGGGCGGCCAGGGGCGGCCGGGCGGGGGCGGTGCGGCGCGCACCAAGCCCTTAGAGCGGCGCGGCCGCGGCGGCGCAAAGTTAGCCCGGCGGCCCGGGACGAGCGGCGCAGCCACTGGAGCGCCCGCCTCGGCCATGGGCGAGCACCCCAGCCCGGGTCCCGCAGTGGCTGGCTGCGCCGAGGCGGAGCGCATCGAGGAGCTGGAACCCGAGGCCGAGGAGCGGCTGCCCGCGGCGCCCGAGGACGTGAGTGTCCCCTCCTCCACCCGGCAAACTTTCTGCGGGTGGGGGGGGTCTTGGGGGAAAGCTGCCCCGACTCACCCTCCCCGCGGGGCAAGTTGGAGGTTTCAAGGTGATGCGGGAGCGCCCGGGATTGGCGGGGTCCCCGCGAGCGAGAAGGGACTGAGGGACCGGTCTCCCTCAAGTGCACGCGCGCGCACCCCTCCCCCGCTCGGGCTCCCGTGGCTTCCCTGCGGGACACAGCCCCGCCGCTGCACCAGGGACCTGTCGGCCGCGGGAGCCCCCTCCCCGCGGCTCGTGCAGTGCCTGGGACACGGCGTTTTCCTGCAGAGGCGGCCGCGTCACAGCAGTAACTCCCCCTTTCTCTCTCTCTCTCTCTCTCTCTCTCTCTCTCTCTCTCTCTCTCTCTCTCTCTCTCTCTCTCTCTCTCTCTCTCTCTCTCTCTCTCTCTCTCTCTCGCGACCTGCGGACTCCGCTGGCCGCGCAGACCGGTCTGGCGACCCCCTTCTCCGCTCCCAGATTAGCTCCTACCCGCCACCTGCTCTGTCGCGACACTGATTGAAATTCAGACTGGCCCCTGTTCCTTAACCCTGCAGGCCAGGGCAAGGGGAGGAGGACTGTTGGGAGAGGTTTGGCTCTGGAATCCCAGACCGCGGCCGTGCCTGGGACTGTCCCCTCGGGGGAAGAGAGGGAGGGGCTACCCCGGAGGACTTCCCTGCCCTCTGCCGTGCGAGTCTCCAGCCCACCTGTCCTGGGAGCCAAGGGTGGATCCGGCGTTGGGAAGCCCTGGAACTGGAGTTGCTTAAGCTTCTCCTCTCAGGGTTATCCTGCAAATAGGCGTGAAAAACTGGGCAGGCCTCCTGCCCTGCCCCATCCGTTCCTCAGGGTGGAGAGATGGAAGTGAAGCCAGGTCCTCCAACCTGCAAAACCAAAGCCAGCAAAACTGGATGGGCCCGGGACTTCTGTGATTAAACCTATCACTTCCTCTGGCCCTAGACCCCTGGTAGAGTCTCAGCCTTAGAAGAAAATGGGTGGGGTTCAGCGCATTGGAAAGTCACTCGCACCCCCCCTCATTCCCCCCACCCACTGCCACCAAAAAGGAAAAAAAAAAAAAAAAAACCCAAAAACACCTGCAAGCAAAATGTTACCTCTATGCAGGGGTGAGTTCTAAGTAGGTTCTCTGGCCTCCTAGGGTCTGAGAGTCTGGGCAGGATTCAGAGGCCTGGGAGTAGATGTGGACAGAAGCTTCAGGTGGCAGAAGTTACAGAGCTGGAGGCCTTTGGTCAATGCTGAGAATCATCCTTGTTTCTCATTCCTCCACCCAACTGTCCCGGACAGGGGACACCCACCTTGCTGTCCCCAACTCCCTACTGTGAGTTCCCTGGCTTTGCTCATTTGGGGAGCTCTTCCCAGGTTTTCCCTCCACTCTGTGGCCCATCCATGAACCTGGTTCTGCCTCCTGGGCAGCAGCTGGGAGGTTACATCAAAAACCTCAGGGGGCTGCAGAGACCTTAGTGATAAGTGTCTTTATTTTTTCTTTCTCTTCTCTTCCTCCTCTCCTGCATGGCCTGCCTCTCTACCAGCACTGGAAAGTCCTGTTTGATAAGGTATGTGAGCAGTTAAATTCCCCTCACCCTTTCCTTCCAGCCCTCCCTGAAATCAGTCTCAGTCTCCCTGCTTGCATGGGCTTTCCTAGCTCTGTGCTCCTGAGATGATGTTGTGGGATGGAGGCGTGGCATACTGCATCTCAGGCTGAGCAACCCTGCTTCAGGTATCCGGAGGAGGTGGTGGGCTCCCCTGAGAGAATCCCTTCCTCCCAACAACTCCCCCTGCATCATGGCTGGGTTTATACCATGTAGGAATTGGGCGATAGGTAGTTAATGCTTAGGAAGTTTCTGTACACAGGAGGATAGCAGTAGCAGGCTGAGGAGGTGGGGAAGGGGCTTGGATTAACCACCCAGTTCCCTTTCTACCTGTAAGACCCATGGCCATCACTGAAGTGAAATCTCTACTATCCTTGGGGAGTCAACTCATGATATGGGCTCTTTTGAAGGCTGATTCTGTTTCTTTAATTCTGCAATAGGGATGGAGGAGTACTGGGAAGTTACAAATGAAAAATGGTACATGATTGTTTGCAGTACCTCAAATCTAACTGTGAGGAATGGAGTTGGGAGTGCCAAGTGTTGACTTTGAGTCAAGAGATGGACATTTGACCTATACCAAGGAAACGGTTGTTTTTGCTTGGTGCTCGGTTGCTGTTGTGTATTTACTTTTACCACTATGATCCATGGTGCAGGAGGAGAGGAGGCTGGAGATGGGGGTGGAGGGAGGCTGGGAATAGGATAGAGAAAACTGCAGTCCTGTAGTGACAGTGATTGTGCCATGAAGTTTGTATAACTTTAAAAGATTGTTCTGTTTGGACCAGAAGAAATGTGTGGAGTTAGAGAGGGAAATAAATATGAAACAATAACTTGATCCAGACCTTTGTTGTAGGCAGGGGATGCCTTTGAAAGTTGTTGGGTTTTTTTGTTTGATTGGTTTTTTGTTTGTTTGTTTGTTTTAAGCAAATTGTTTTGGAATGCAAGCAATGCTTGGAAAGATACTGTGTGATAGTGGGTAGGGGTGAGATGGATTGCAGGGATGGAAGACAGTAGTCAGGGGCCTGCTGTAGTGAATGGACACAAGCACCTTAGGTTAGTTAGCTTTCCATTACTATAGTAAACATCTGAGGTAATCACATTATAAAGAAAAAAGGTTTTCTTTGGATCATGATTTTGGAGGTCCACAATTGGTCTGCCCCATTGTGAGAGAGCACATCCTGGCAGAAACCTGTGGTGAAGCAAAAGCCATTCATCTTATGACCACAGAGCAGAGAAGAAGAGACTAAGACCCCACAAGTCCCTTTGTGAGCACCTCCCTAGTGACCTAAATAGCTCCCACTAGCCCCCACCTCTTAAAGTTTTCACAACCTCCCAATTGCTCCTAGCTGGGGACCAAGCCTTTAATAGCTTTGGGAACACTTATCCAAATCATAGCATGCTTTACCTTGGTGACAATGAGAATGAAAAAAAAAAAAAGAGGGGTGTAGTGATAGGGGAATGGAAGATATTAATAGAGCTGAATAACTGAGGAGAAAAGGGAAAAGTAGAGGTGGGGGAGGTAAGCAAAATGACAGCTTTGATTCCAGATAAGTTTAATTTGCGTAGCCAGCTAAATGCACAGGCCTTAGTGGGACTGAACACATGGGATTGCAGAGGGAAAGACATGGTGGACCTGGGGTGAGAATTTGGCGTTATCTTCCACCAGACTGACGATAGCTTGAGGATCATGAACTGGCTGCTGTCCTGATGTAGAAGAGCCTCTTTTCCTCTGTTCCTAGTGCCATCTATGCTCCCTCTGGTCCCTAAGAGTATAGCAGCTGCTGGCCTGATGCCCTGAGTCAGGAGGGAGCCACTCTGTTGCCACTGCTACCACTATCACCAAGCTGCCAGCCCTTCACACCTCCTGCCAGATTTAGAATCAGAACCTCGAACAAAGTGTATCATGCTTTTTCTCTGTGTCTTTCACATTTGACTAATTTCCTTTGCCATTTCCTATGTATGTGTTTACATTTTAAAACAAAACATTTGGATGAATAGAGAACTTTTAGTGGGAAGAATTTGGAACCCAAGTACAGTCCCGAGTAGAGAGTGTGAAGTAGTCAATATTACTGAAGATCAATAAAATCCAGTTGGAGGGAGATCCACGGCCTCCCCTGCTTCTGGGGAGGCCACTCAGAAATCATTCTGGACAGCCGAAAATAATTCTAGGAAAGAAACTACCAAAATTAGTGTAGACCATTTTTTCGTATAGGAATTTTAGCCTGTATGTACTCCCCAACCCTCATGAGGCATCAGAAACCTGTTTCTGCCTTCCTATTGGTGCTTTGTGTTTAAGAAGAGCTGCCCCTGAGGATGACTTTGACCTCTGGCAGATGTCCAGTCCTTCTGCATTCATTGCCTCTGTCCTTTAACCATTCCCCTGACAGGGCGAAGGGAAGAGTAAGTATGAAGCTTCTCGAATGGACTCAGCCTCAGTAGGATGTCAGGTTCTTCCAAAAGCTGAAACGATTTATCCCTCCTCTTCCTCTGGGCCTGACTAAAAGTAGATTTGGCAAGTTGTGAAATTGGTACATGTTGGGAAAGTTTGGCTGGGTGCACCAAGTAGCCGCCCCAACATTTCCTCCAGAAGTAGACATCCCTGATAGGTCGAATGGTGGTGAATAGGACACATGACACCTGTCAGAATCCCTGTGAGCCAAGTGGTGCCTGAGTTCCCCTTCCAGAGGTCAGTGGTGTGGAAGGCTGGAACCATTCAGCACAGTCTCCCTCCCTTTCTTGGGTCAAGGAGACACCAGTGGCACCCAGTTTCAAACTGGAATCTGTTTCCCATGTGTTAGGGATGGAATTTGATCAACGTCTCCGTGCTATATGGTTCTTTACCATATGGAGTAGCGTTGACCTAGCATGAAGCTCCCTGAACCCCAAGGGCCACCATGTTGGCATTGTTGATCCTATGTGACCACCTTTCAAGTAAATGGCCAGGGTGCCTTTTATAAAGGAATTGGGAGTGAGCAGAGCAAGTCACCTCAGCCCCTTGGAAGTTTTCCTGGCCCCTTTATCGTTCTGGATTTTGTCTGGTCTGCTCACGCAGGGATACAGCATGATCAGTTCCACATCATCCCTTCTCACTTCTCTATGGGCCAAAGATACCACCAAAGGCAGGAAGCTTAAGGGTCATCAATTCACCTTCCAGATGTTCCATGGGTTCATTTCCTACTTGAACTTCTCCTTAAGGGAACTGTCTTTTCATAACTTTGGGATCTTGATGGTTTTCCTAAATATTTAAATAGGTTTTAAAGTTACCATAGGGCTGGGGGTCAGTCTCAATGGTACAGCACTTGCCTAACATGCACAAGGCCCTGGGTTTGATCCCTAAGCACTGCCAAAGTATTAATAGTAATAATAAAGTGACCATAAGTATTAACTTGCTGTTTTAGTGCAGTACTATATCGAAAAGATTTTTTATTTTTCCATCATTGAATATCATTTCCTTCATGATTCCTCTATTGTTTCAGGCCTAAGACAATTTTCATCCCTTTCCAGGTCTCAAATAAACCCTTCTATGTCCTACTACTTTTCTCAGTTATGTAACACTTCACTCCCCCTGGGTGTTACTGCTCTCTGCTTACAGCTGCATTGCTTACTCAGAAACTCTTTATATATTGTTTGAGAAATGGCATCATTTGATAAATTTTCTAATCTATGTCACAGATATAATTTTGCACAGGTAATGTATCCTTTAGTTAGTGTTTTTTATTTGTTCCAGAAGTTTCTAAAAGCTCCTCCTTTCAGGTTGTGTGCTCAGTCCCTTTTTGAGCCTCAAGTTTTTTTCCCAAGGTCAAATAGTGGGTCAGTGGCAGATATGGGACTGGACTTCAGTTAACCTGCAAACAGTTTCCTGTATTGACAGAGCCATTCTCCAGGTTCACCCTTAAAAATGACTCCAAGATCTTTGAGTGTTTAATGAGCACAAGTATTTGGAGAAGAGTTTTGATAAGTCAACAAAACAGTTGCTTTTGAGCTCAAAAGAAGAGAGAAAAAAGGAAGAATTGGCAATCTCTTAATTGTGTCTCCTCGTTCCCCTTCCTACTGGGGACCATGCATTTCCCTGAAAAGAGACCAATTTTGGTAATCCCTCAGACAGGAAGTTGACATTGACTGTTCTGCTGAGATTAAAAACATGTGCTGCAGATGGAGCTTGGGACTGTTTTGATGGGCTAATGGGAGAAGAACCTTGGATTTGGTGATAGATAAACCTGGCTTCCAGTCTTACCTACTTTGTGACTGGGGGAAATTATATTACCTTTCTTTTTTTTTTTTTTTTTTCTTTGGTAGTGCTGGGGTTTGATCTCAGGGCTTTGTGCTTGCTAGGCAGGTGGCAGGTGTTCTACTGCTTGAGCCAGGCCTCCAGCCCTATATTACCTTTCTGAGCCTCACTTTCCTCCTTCATAAAATGGGGATGATGATCTTTAACTCCAGGGTGATCGCGAGAATAGATTGGAAGTGGAAACTCCTTTCACGATATCTGATTCCTAATGGTCATTCGATAGATGTGCCTTGACTGGGAGTCGGAATTCCCGGTGAAGTACAGGACCATTTCTGACACCTGGACCCTGGTGGGGATGGTGGCTCCTTGAGAGAGCTACTTCTGAGCCCACAGGATTTTTCTGCTTTCTTTCTCCCAGTGCCTCCCCTGCCTACTCCCCTTCCCCCCAGACTAGAGGGCTTCCCCTGGCCTGATCCTGATGCCCACATCATTTGCAATTTTCCTGTAAGTGACTTGGGCAGGAGGGGGGAGGGGTTAGGAGCTGAAAAGAGGTTCAGAGGAAACCGCTGAATGAATTATCGAGATGCCACAGAGAAAACACCTGCGCAGAGACAGCAGTGATGGCCATGGCCCCTGGAGAGCATGATTAGCCAACAGAGTAGGGTTCCCAGAGAGGGACAAAGCCTCACTTGGGCTCTATGCTCCCAACCCTTTAGCAAGTAGCTAGCCTGGAGGACTC